ACTCAATACTTGTCACAGTGACATTTAAAGCGGCAGCTGCTATTTACCTTCCTCTCTGATCCTGCACTAAAAACATAAACATGCCTGTAATGTGAACACCTGCGCTTTCCATGATATAGACTGACCAGGTGAATCCAGGTGAAAGCTATGATCCCTTATTGATGTCACTTGTTAAATCCACTTCAATCAGTGTAGATGATGGGGAGGAGACATGTTAAAGAAGGGTTTTTAAGCCTTGAGACAATTGAGACATGGATTGTGTATGTGTGCCATTCAGAGGACGAACGGGCAAGACAAAAGATTGAAGTGCCTTTAAACAGGGTATTGTAGTGCAAGACGCACCGGTTTGTGTCAAGAACTGCAACGCTGCTGGGTTTTTCATGCTCAACAGTTTCCTGTGTGTATCAAGAATGGTCCACCGCCCAAAGGACATCCAGCCAACTTGACACAACTGTGGGAAGCATTTGAGTCAACATGGTCCAGCATCCCTGTGGAATGCTTTTGACACCTTGTAGAGTCCATGCCCTGACAAATTGAGGCTATTCAGAGGGGATCTCAGTATTAGGAAGGTGTTCTTAATGTTTTGTACACTCAGTGTACATATACTGTGCATACATATACACACATGTCTGTAGAGTGGGGGGAGTAATAGCATAATTAGGGGGTAAGTTGGAGGTAAACAGGTCTGAAAGTAGGTCAGATATTCTCTCTGTTTCACTCCAGAAATAGATGGTGTACTGTAGAGGGTGGAATTGTCTTACAATGGACAGGGTTTTACTGTCACAAAGGATGGGGTTGCACTGGAGCCTGAACTGTATAGTGTGTTATTAGCACTGCATGTCAACATTCCTGTTAGTGTATGTGTCTATGGGTCTGGGTGAGTACACTATAATAGGTTACACCTCCTGTCCTGCAGGTATTTTGTTTTCTGTGACAAAGTACCATAACAGAGATGGCCTCATTCCATGGTGTTGAGGGGTTAGAATGGGGTTTAAGCAGTTATAGGGTAAATCAAAGGTCTGACCCTGTCACGTTCGTTGAATGACGGGCAGACCAAGGCGCAGCGTGATATACGTACATGTTTATTAACTGATAAACACCACGACAAAACAACAAATGAAACGAAACGTCCAAGGTAGCACACACAACATACCTTACACGGAACAAGATCCCACAACTCAATAGTGCCCACAGGCTGCCTAAGTATGGTCCCCAATCAGAGACAACGAGCGACAGCTGCCTCTGATTGGGAACCACACCGGCCAACATAGAAATACACATACTAGATAATAAACATAGAAAACGCACAACAAAGAATATACACACCCTGACTCAACATTTAAGCGTCCCCTGAGTCAGTGCGTGACAGTACCCCCCCCCCCCCCTCCCAAAGGTGCGGACTCCGACCGCACAACATAAACATAACAGGGTAGGGGCCGGGTGGGCATTCCGCCTCGGAGGCGGATCCGGCTCGGGGCGTGACGACCTCTCACTCTCCGCCTCCCTGTTGCGCCCCAGGTCTGGTCTGGACCTCGGCGCACTACTTCCCCTCTCCTTCCTCCCACGATACGCCAGGCCCTGTCTGGACCCTGGTGTGGGAGACCCCGAACCTGGAGAGGGGCTGACGTCATGGTCTGGACTGGAGCCGCTGACCGGAGCTGGACTAGGCACCGGTGGAGCTGCCTGCTCTGGCTCCGGAGTGGAGCCGCTGACCGGAGCTGGATCAGGCACCGGTGGAGCGGACTGCTCTGGCTCTGGAGTGGAGCCGCTGACCGGAGCTGGACTTGACCCCGGTGGAGCGGACTGCTCTGGCTCCAGAGTGGCGCAGCTGACCGAAGCTAGATCAGGCACCGGTGGAGCGGACTGCTCTGGCTCCGGAGTAGAGCAGCTGACCGGAGCTGGACTGGACCCCGGTGGAGCGGACTGCTCTGGCTCCGGAGTGGCGCAGCTGACCGGAGCTGGATCAGGCACCGGTGGAGCGGACTGCTCTGGCTCCGGACTGGACAAACGCACCACTGGTCTGGTACGAGGAGCAGGCACGGGCCGGACTAGGAACACGCACCACTGGCTTGGTGCGAGGGACAGGAACGGGCCGGGCCGGGCTGGCGACGCGCACCACTGGCTTGGTGCGAGGAGCAGGAACGTGCGGGGCCAGACTGTGGAGGCGGACTGGAGGTCTAGAGCGGAGAGCTGGCACAACCCGTCCTGGCTGGCTGCCCACTTTCGCACTACACGTGCGGAGTGCTGGCACAGGGCACACTGGGCTGTGCACGCGCACTGGCGATACAGTTCGTAGAACTGCCGCAGGATATGCGGGACCGAGGAGGCGTACTGGAGACCAGGAGCGTTGAGCCGGCACACCCCGTCCTGGCTGGATGCCCATCTTCGCACGGCACGTGCGTGGTGCAAGCACAGGACGTACAGGACTGTGCCGGCGCACTGGCGACTTGCCCAGTCATACGCCTCTTCGCGTGAGTACGGGGAGTTGGCTCTGCTCTAACCCTAGGCTCCGCCAACCACCCCGTGTGCCCCCCCCCAAAATGTTATTGGGGCTGCTTCTCGGGCTTCCTCCTCGACTGGCCTCCTCCGTGTTGCCGTTGCTCCTCTCCTGCCTGGGCATTTACCTTAGCCCATGGTCCTCTCCCCGCAAATATCTCTTCCCATGACCACGAATTGCCCATCTGTGACATGGCTACTCGCCCCGCCTGGGCACGCTGCTTGGTCCTCGTTTGGTGGGATCTTCTGTCACGTTTGTTGAATGACGGGTCAGACCAAGGCACAGCGTGATATGCGTACATGTTTATTGAACTTAATAAACACACGACAAAACAACAAAGGAAACGAAACGTGAAGTCCAAGGTAGCACACACAACATACCTTACACGGAACAAGATCCCACAACTCAATAGTGCCCATAGGCTACCTAAGTATGGTCCCCAATCAGAGACAACGATTGACAGCTGCCTCTGATTGGGAACCACACCGACCAACATAGAAATACACATACTAGATAATAAACATAGAAAACGCACAACAAAGAATATACACACCCTGACTCAACATTTAAGCGTCCCCTGAGTCAGGGCGTGACAGACCCAGCCATGGATCAGAGACAACAAAGGCTACAGGGAACTACAGGGTGAAAGACGACTCCACTGACTACTAATGAAACTGTCCCAAAACCAGGGTTGAGTTTCTTTTCGCCAACATACCATCAAGCGTTGACAATGTTCAGACTGCCATTGAGATGATTTCCCCAGGCAATGACTCTACTGTATTGTGTGAGTCTGTTAAACCAGGTGAGAGTGTCCTACTAGCACTACAACAACCCAGTATGTTACTGTGAAATCCATCCTCATTCCCATTGATTAGAGCCCAGGGACACAGATATGATGACTTCCCGCCAAAGCATGTTGAATTCATATGGTTCACACTCACAAGCTAAACTCAGAGGGGTCACTCTCTCTCTCTCTCTCTCTCTCTCTCTCTCTCTCTCTCTCTCTCTCTCTCTCTCTCTCTCTCTCTCTCTCACTCTTTTAATCTCTCTCTCTCTCTCTCGCTTTCTCGCTCTCATCTCTCATTGCTGCCTTTTCTCCTCTACCTTTCCTTGCTCCCTCCTCTCTTCCCCTCCCTCCTTTCCCCTGATCTCCTCACCTCTTGTCTCCTGCTCTCCTCTCCTTTTACCCTGTCTTCTGCTTTATGTGTGTCCTTGGGCTGAGACTGCCCTACACATGGTGTGAAGCTTTGAAACACATACAGGAGCAAGGCAGACCACACACACTCATCGCATAGTCACAATAAACACACACAAACACACAAGTGTGTCAAAGCTGAGTTATTCCTACTGGAGGTTGTTGTACTGCAATTTGGCTGAATATAGGCCTAGATACTGTGGGGAAAAGGAGCCAAACTGTTGTTGCAAAGTGAACTGATGTGTTTGGCTTCACAATGTTCAGTGCTGTGCAACGCCAGAACAACACAATTAGTAAAACACTTGCATGAAGTCAACATTACACACTGTGAACACAGAACACACAATTCATTGGTTGAAATTACTGGAAATCTTACATAGGCTGTAACAGACTTTTAATAGATAAAACAATGCTATTAGATGTTTATTAATTGTATATAAATAAAGTAAAGTAAAGAGAATGGAATCCATTCATGGGTTGAGCTTTGTCTGAAGTCCTCCCTGCCCAGTCACAGTGCTGCTGTGAAACGCTGGCTGGCCCACCCCTAGATGCAGTTGCTAGGCAACCACTCATTGCACCATGGGTCCAATTGTAGCAATGCTGACTACACTGAGTTATCTTCTACCCTCTCATCTTCTTCTTCTTCTTCTTCTTCTTCTCTCTCCTCTCTTTCTCAGTACTTAAGCTAATCACATCTAAAGATATTATATAATTTTGTGAGTATTAAAACCCCCAGAAGCTGATAGTCATAAGTGGTGGAGGCAGTTGAAATTCAGACTTAAACTATTCTGTATTTAAAATAAAAAAACAGGTCACTCAAATGTTTCTAACCTAATTTTGCATCATTTTCTAGACCACCACAGTCACTGTCCTGTATGTAAGGTTTGTTCAGATAAACACATGATGCTGTTTCTCCAGACACCCCAGGCATGTGCAGCACATAGGTAAGGCCCTGACAACAGCTTCTTTATGAGAAAGGTAGAAGAACTTAATAGCCCACTGATTGTGTATTGGTGACACCTGAGACTACAGTTAAATGTGTGTTTCTCTGGCAAATGTCATAACTATTAATCCATTACATTTTTAAGAATAAATAGTTTGACTAAATGGCTGGTTAGATTGAGAGATGAGGAAGAAAAAAATCTGTTTAGCAGCGCGCGCGCTCCCCGCTCCATGGAAGCGCACTTCCGTCCACGCGCGCGTCAGCAGGTGCAGACAGAGAGAAGTGGGGTCTCGCGGCTTCATCATCACTGCATCAAAATAACGCCAGTGTATAATACTTTTAAATCAATATAACATTCTCAGAAGATGGTAGCAAAACAAAGGATCCGTATGGCAAACGAAAAGCACAGCAAAAACATCACGCAGAGAGGCAACGTTGCAAAGACCCTGGTGAGGCTAAGCTTTTCTTCAGGCTGTGTGGGTTCCATCATCAGACGAAAGGAGGTGCAAGTATGATGACATCGATTCAGTTAATCATCACTGAGAATGGCATAATTTCAATAAATGTGACCCATCCATTTCATAAATGATTGATTGTGTATCTATATCTGATGTTGTTATGTATGTTATGGCTCAAATTGGCTATCGATAACGCCGCTCCATCTCTCTTCATCACATCAGACTCGGCATGTTGCTTTTCATATGATTAATTTTAAATCGTTCAGATCAATCACACGACACAGGGCGCAATGAATGAGTGTTCAAGCCTTTCTCCATGTATTGTTATTCATGGAAATTGGTTAACGTGTTGGCTTGTTGATCATTGAATGCTGTATGTTTCCTTTATGGTCTGGTGGTCTTCATGGTCAAACAGGCGATTTGCCACACGGTTTACAGCCCGGGATTCTCCTGATCAATAATTTATGAGAAATCAATGCCACGTAGATAACGGTCTAGATTGTCAATATGGATGGTGTCATCATCTGGCTGTTCAGTCCATAAAGAGAGCCTGAGGTTGTTGATGAACTCTATGGTCCATCTGTATCCTGCCCAGGTCCCCCCCACACACACACACACATACACATACACACACACACACACACACACAGGATATATGACAGGTAGTGATACTGATTATTATGTAACCCTGGAATGTAGGTTTCACTTCCTCATATGAATAGGTTACACTGGCCTGTATTAGTTTAGATAGAGATACTGTACAGTCGTGGTCAAAGGTTTTGAGAATGACACAAATATTAATTTTCACAGTCTGCTGCCTCAGTTTTTATGATGGCAATTTGCATATACTCCAGAATGTTATGAAGAGTGATCAGATGAATTGCAATTAATTGCAAAGTCCCTCTTTGCCATGAAAATGAACTTAATCCCAAAAAAACATTTCCACTGCATTTCAGCCCTGCCACAAAAGGACCAGCTGACATCATGTCAGTGATTCTCTCGTTAACACAGGTGAGAGTGTTGACGAGGACAAGGCTGGAGATCACTCTGTCATGCTGATTGAGTTAGAATAACAGACTGGAAGCTTTAAAAGGAGGGTGGTGCTTGAAATCATTGTTCTTCCACTGTTAACCATGATTACCTGCAAGGAAACACGTGCCGTCATCATTGCTTTGCACAAAAAGGGCTTCACAGGCAAGGATATTGCTGCTAGTAAGATTGCACCTAAATCAACCATTTATCGGATCATCAAGAACTTCAAGGAGAGAGGTTCAATTGTTGTGAAGAAGGCTTCAGGGCGCTCAAGAAAGCACCAGGACCGTCTCCTAAAGTTGATTCAGCTGCGGGATCAGGGCACCACCAGTGCAGAGCTTGCTCAGGAATGGCAGCAGGCAGGTGTGAGTGCATCTGCACGCACAGTGAGGCGAAGACTTTTGGAGGATGGCCTGGTGTCAAGAAGGGCAGCGAGGAAGCCACTTCTTTCAAGGAAAAACATCAGGGACAGACTGATATTCTGCAAAAGGTACAGGGATTGGACTGCTGAGGACTGGGGTAAAGTCATTTTCTCTGATGAATCCCCTTTCCGATTGTTTGGAGCATCCGGAAAAAAGCTTGTCCGGAGAAGACAAGGTGAGCGCTACCATCAGTCCTGTGTCATGCCAACAGTAAAGCATCCTGAGACCATTCATGTGTGGGGTTGATTCTCAGCCAAGGGAGTGGGCTCACTCACAATTTTGCCTAAGAACACAGCCATGAATAAAGAATGGTACCAACACATCCTCAGAGAGTGTCACGATCGTCGTAATGAACAGACCAAGGCGCAGCGTGATGAACGAACATGTTTAACTTTATTATCTTTAGTGATAATAGAACACAATCAACAAAACAAGAAACGACTCGTGAAGTCCACGGTAACAATGACCGAACACGGAACAAGAACCCACAAACACAAAGGGAAAATAGACAGTATAAATATGGCTCTCAATCAGAGACAACCAACGACAGCTGACACTCGTTGCCTCTGATTGGGAGTCACTCTAGCCAACATAGAAATAAACACAACAGAATTACCAACATAGAAATAAACACATAGAATGAACACACCCTGGCTCAACATATAGAGTCCCAGAGCCAGGGTGTGACAGTACCCCCCCCTAAAGGCGCGGACTGCGACCGCGCCTCAACCTGAACAAAACAGGGGAGGGCTGGGCGGGCATACCTCCTCGGCGGCGGTTCTGGCTCCGGCCTTGACCACCACCCTCCAATAAACCCCCCATAGCGCCCCTGGTCCAGTCTGGCCCCGCCGGCTGGAGCTGAACTGGACTTAGCAGGAGCGGTTAGCTTCAGTTCCATAGTGGAGCAGTTGACCGGTACCTTACCAGGCACCGGTGACCCAGGCACGGGTTGTGCTGGACTGACGACGCGAACCCCTGGCTTGGTGCGTGGAGGAGGAACGGGCCTTACCAGGCTGACGACTCGCACCCCTGGCTTAGTGCGTGGAGGAGGAACGGGCCTTACCAGGCTGACGACTCGCACCCCTGGCTTAGTGCGTGGAGGAGGAACGGGCCTTACCAGGCTGACGACTCGCACCCCTGGCTTGGTGCGTGGAGGAGGGACGGGCCTTACCAGGCTGACGTCTCGCACCCCTGGCTTAGTGCGAGTAGCAGGAACAGGCCTTACCAGGCTGACGTCTCGCACCCCTGGCTTAGTGCGAGTAGCAGGAACAGGCCGGGCTGGGCTGGCGACGCGCACCGTAGACTTGGTGCGAGTGGCAGGAACAGGCCGGGCCGGGCTGGCGACGCGCACCGTAGACTTGGTGCGAGTGGCAGGAACAGGCCGGGCCGGGCTGGCGACGCGCACCGTAGACTTGGTGCGAGTGGCAGGAACAGGCCGGGCCGGGCTGGCGACGCGCACCGTAGACTTGGTGCGAGTGGCAGGAACAGGCCGGGCCGGGCTGGCGACGCGCACCGTAGACTTGGTGCGTGGAGCAGGGACAGGCCGGACTGGGCTGGCGACGCACACCGTAGGCTTGGTGCGTAGAGCAGGGACAGGCCGGACTGGGCCTGCGACGCACACCGTCGGGCCTTACCAGGCTGACGACTCGCACCCCTGGCTTAGTGCGTGGAGGAGGAACGGGCCTTACCAGGCTGACGACTCGCACCCCTGGCTTGGTGCGTGGAGGAGGGACGGGCCTTACCAGGCTGACGTCTCGCACCCCTGGCTTAGTGCGAGTAGCAGGAACAGGCCTTACCAGGCTGACGTCTCGCACCCCTGGCTTAGTGCGAGTAGCAGGAACAGGCCGGGCTGGGCTGGCGACGCGCACCGTAGACTTGGTGCGAGTGGCAGGAACAGGCCGGGCCGGGCTGGCGACGCGCACCGTAGACTTGGTGCGAGTGGCAGGAACAGGCCGGGCCGGGCTGGCGACGCGCACCGTAGACTTGGTGCAAGTGGCAGGAACAGGCCGGGCCGGGCTGGCGACGCGCACCGTAGACTTGGTGCGAGTGGCAGGAACAGGCCGGGCCGGGCTGGCGACGCGCACCGTAGACTTGGTGCGAGTGGCAGGAACAGGCCGGGCCGGGCTGGCGACGCGCACCGTAGACTTGGTGCGAGTGGCAGGAACAGGCCGGGCCGGGCTGGCGACGCACACCGTAGGCTTGGTGCGTGGAGCAGGGACAGGCCGGACTGGGCTGGCGACGCACACCGTAGGCTTGGTGCGTAGAGCAGGGACAGGCCGGACTGGGCCTGCGACGCACACCGTAGGCTTGGTGCGTAGAGCAGGGACAGGCCGGGCCGGGCTGGCGACGCACACCGTAGGCTTGGTGCGTAGAGCAGGGACAGGCCGGGCTGGGCTGGCGACGCACACCGTAGGCTTGGTGCGTGGAGCAGGGACAGGCCGAACCGGGCTGTGGAGACGGATAGGAGACCTGGAGTGAAGAGCGGCCACAACCCGTCCTGGCTGAATGCCTACCCTCACACACTCTGTGTGAGGCATCCGCACAGGACGTACAGGGCGGTGTATCCGTAACCTGGTGGCCTTCTGAATCCGCCCCTCTTCTGCCTCCGTCAGCCCCGTCGTCCATGCCGTGTGCCCCCCCCTAAAAATTTTCTGGGGTTGCCTCTCGCCTGTCCGACGTTGACCCGTTTGGCGCCGCTGCTCCTCTCTACGGCGCGCCTCCACCGTCTCTTCTCCCGACGCTTCCGCCCATGTCCAGCCCAAGAACTGCCCATGGACACGCTGCTTGGTCGTTGCATGGTGGGTTCTTCTGTCACGATCGGCGTAATGAACAGACCAAGGCGCAGCGTGATGAACGAACATGTTTAACTTTATTATCTTTAGCGATAATAGAACACAATCAACAAAACAAGAAACGACTCGTGAAGTCCACGGTAACAATGACCGAACACGGAACAAGAACCCACAAACACAAAGGGAAAATAGACAGTATAAATATGGCTCCCAATCAGAGACAACCAACGACAGCTGACACTCGTTGCCTCTGATTGGGAGTCACTCTAGCCAACATAGAAATAAACACAACAGAATTACCAACATAGAAATAAACACATAGAATGAACACACCCTGGCTCAACATATAGAGTCCCAGAGCCAGGGTGTGACAGAGAGCAACTTCTCCCAACCATCCAAGAACAGTTTGGTGACGAACAATGCCTTTTCCAGCATGATGGAGCACCTTGCCATAAGGCAAAAGTGATAACTAAGTGGCTCGGGGAACAAAACATCGTCATTTTGGGTCCATGGCCAGGAAACTCCCCAGACCTTAATCCCATTGAGAACTTGTGGTCAATCCTCAAGAGGCGGGTGGACAAACAAAAACCCACAAATTCTGACAAACTCCAAGCATTGATTATGCAAGAATGGGCTGCCATCAGTCAGGATGTGGCCCAAAAGTTAATTGACAGCATGCCAGGGTGGATTGCAGAGGTCTTGAAAAAGAAGGGTCAACACTGCAAATATTGACTCTTTGCATAAACTTAATGTAATTGTCAATAAAAGCCTTTGACACTTATGGAATGCTTGTAATTATACTTCAGTATACCATAGTAACATCTGACAAAAATATCTAAAAACACTGAAGCAGCAAACTTTGTGAAGACTAATACTTGTGTCATTCTCAAAACTTTTGACCACGACTGTACACTTGTTTAATTGTGTGCTGCAATAGCCTTAGGGAAATGGGAGGTGTTCGTCATTGTATTACATTTTCATAACTGCTGAATATAATGTTACAGTATTTGATTCCCAATCTATCCACCCTCCAACAGATTCCTTTTAAGGCAGGCTGATTTGTTCTATTGGTGCTCCTTGAGATGCCTGCTTTTTTCTGTCAACCTTGAATTATGAAACTATACCTGAAATCTTTACCTGCCTTCAACATGACTGCATTCTGTAAGGTGACACTGTATGGAATAGCTAGCTCACTGTGGGATACAGATTGTTGTCATTGTGTGTATTAGAATAAAGGAATACTTGGGGTTTGCACTGTATATTCTAGATAGCTATTGTGTTATCCACAATAATACCACACCACCATCAGAGAGCATATGGGTGCTGTCCAACTGTATGACGTCACCCAGACCAGACCTTGTGGTTGTAATAGTTTATGTTGGCGAGTCGCGTGCTGCAGGTCTAGACAGCCATGCTAACTCTGCATAACTCTGATTATTATTAGATCCACTCAGGCCTATTCTGGTGTGACTGGGTAAAAAACACCCACACAGTGATGAGGGCAGGGTTTAAAACCTGGTCGGAAACTTGTCCTATTCAGCACTTGTTCTTGATGTAAGTCTAGAGATAATAACACTGTAAGAACCTTCCTCCCTTGGATGTTTGTTCAACCTGGTTGGTCTTCCTCCACCAAGTTTCCTGTAGGGCCATATTCTGCCTTGATTTGACCACCCTTAAACAACTGTCTGACCTTGACCGTCGTACTAACTCTAACCTTATGTCCGACCTTATGTTCGGTGTGTGTGGCCAGCCTGTGGAGGATGGGCCCCCCTCAGAGTCTGGTTCCTCTCAAGGTTTCCTCCTCCTACAGGGGAGGTTTCATGGCCATTGTTACACTAGACTTGCTCCCAATCAGGTCCTAAACTGACATCATATCTATAGAACTACCGCAAACAGTTGACTAACAGAATAAATTATTTTACCACGATTCATTCAGAATAATTATCCTAAGGGGCCTATGACAACTAGTGCTGAGCAATTAACCAACATTTTTGTTATTTTTCGGTTTTTAAACAACTAATTGACCGACATAGGTTCAATTATTTGAATTCCATTTTTTATTTTATATGAGCTCAATGCACAGTTTCTATAGAGATAAATCAGATCATGCCTGAACTGTGCGATGTAATAGGGAGTTGTAACATTCTACATAGCTTAGCACAGAAAACGTGGTAATTACAGTGAGGGAAAAAAGTATTTGATCCCCTGCTGATTTTGTACGTTTGCCCACTGACAAAGAAATGATCAGTCTATAATTTTAATGGTAGGTTCATTTGAACAGCAAGAGACAGAATAACAACAACAAAATCCAGAAAAACGCATGTCAAAAATGTTATAAATTGATTTGCATTTTAATGAGGGAAATAAGTATTTGACCCCCTCTCAATCAGAAAGATTTCTGGCTCCCAAGTGTCTTTTATACAGGTAACGAGCTGAGATTAGGAGCACACTCTTAAAGGGAGTGCTCCTAATTTCAGCTTGTTACCTGTATAAAAGACACCTGTTCACAGAAGCAATCAATCAATCAGATTCCAAACTCTCCACCATGGCCAAGCCCAAAGAGCTCTCCAAGGATGTCAGGGACAAGATTGTAGACCTACACAAGGCTGGAATGGGCTACAAGACCATCGCCAAGCAGCTTGGTGAGAAGGTGACAACAGTTGGTGCGATTATTCGAAAATGGAAGAAACACAAAATAACTGTCAATCTCCCTCGGCCTGGGGCTCCATGCAAGATCTCACCTCGTGGAGTTGCAATGATCATGAGAACGGTGAGGAATCAGCCCAGAACTACACAGGAGGATCTTGTCAATGATCTCAAGGCAGCTGGGACCATAGTCACCAAGAAAACAATTGGTAACACACTACGCCGTGAAGGACTGAAATCCTGCAGCGCCCGCAAGGTCCCCCTGCTCAAGAAAGCACATATACAGGCCCGTCTGAAGTTTGCCAATGAACATCTGAATGATTCAGAGGAGAACTGGGTGAAAGTGTTGTGGTCAGATGAGACCAAAATCGAGCTCTTTGGCATCAACTCAACTCGCCGTGTTTGGAGGAGGAGGAATGCTGCCTATGACCCCAAGAACACCATCCCCACCGTCAAACATGGAGGTGGAAACATTGTGCTTTGGGGGTGTTTTTCTGCTAAGGGGACAGGACAACTTCACCGTATCAAAGGGACGATGGACGGGGCCATGTGTACCGTCAAATCTTGGGTGAGAACCTCCTTCCCTCAGCCAGGGCATTGAAAATGGGTCGTGGATGGGTATTCCAGCATGACAATGACCCAAAACACACGGTCAAGGCAACAAAGGAGTGGCTCAAGAAGAAGCACATTAAGGTCCTGGAGTGGCCTAGCCAGTCTCCAGACCTTAATCCCATAGAAAATCTGTGGATGGAGCTGAAGGTTCAAGTTGACAAACGTCAGCCTCAAAACCTTAATGACTTGGAGAAGATCTGCAAAGAGGAGTGGAACAAAATCCCTCCTGAGATGTGTGCAAACCTGATGACCAACTACAAGAAATGTCTGAACTCTGTGATTGCCAACAAGGGTTTTCCACCAAGTACTAAGTCATGTTTTGCAGAGGGGTCAAATACTTATTTCCCTCATTAAAATGCAAATCAATTTATAACATTTTCGACATGCGTTTTTTTGGATTTTTTTGTTGTTATTCTGTCTCTCACTGTTCAAATAAACCTACCATTAAAATTATAGACTGATCATGTCTTTGTCAGTGGACAAACGTACAAAATCAGCAGGGGATCAAATACTTTTTTCCCTCAATGTAACTACAATGACCATAATCCATTGCACGCCTACTTGTCCAGTCTGTGGGCGCGTTTGACATTGCAGCCGACTTTAAAGGTGAATTGAGACTGACTGATCTACAAGTCACCTTGCATCCTAAATAACTACTCAATATTATTTGTTGATTAGTCAGTCTGTCACAATTTACCCATGATACGTCACAGTTTTGAAGCAGTTTTATGCCTGCTACATTAGGTTAGCGTGGGGAAGACACAGAGAGAGAGGAGATAGAAGAAAGTGTGATTGAGAGCAGTTGCTTGGCAAGGTGTCTCTACCTGAAAATACTTGATCTAAGTGATTGATAGTTGGTATTTAGCAGTGATAAAAGTATGCCTTATTTACTTTGAAGAACTACTAAAATAGTGATTTTGTCAGACAGCATAGGCAGCGGCTCTATAGAGATAAGATGATGAGAAGCACCACAGGAGAAGCTTCAGTAGCAGGTTCATCCTGCCCAGAAGTTCCACAGAGAGGTTTAGATGGTCATTTTTACCCACAGCCATGAGGCTTTTTTAACGAGTGTAACTGATTAACAGTTTTATTGTGAAGTGTTTTTGCTTGTTTTTCCTCCAGAGTAGGATAGAAAACAGCACTTGAAATGGACTTTATTCTTTTACGGATACTAAGGTGCATGTACAGTGGGGAAAAAAGTATTTAGTCAGCCACCAATTGTGCAAGTTCTCCCACTTAAAAAGATGAGAGAGGCCTGTAATTTTCATCATAGGTACACGTCAACTATGACAGACAAAATGAGAAAAAAAATCCAGAAAATCACATTGTAGGATTTTTTATGAATTTATTTCCAAATTATGGTGGAAAATAAGTATTTGGTCAATAACAAAAGTTTCTCAATACTTTGTTATATACCCTTTGTTGGCAATGACACAGGTCAAACGTTTTCTGTAAGTCTTCACAAGGTTTTCACACACTGTTGCTGGTATTTTGGCCCATTCCTCCATGCAGATCTCCTCTAGAGCAGTGATGTTTTGGGGCTGTCGATGGGCAACACGGACTTTCAACTCCCTACAAAGATTTTCTATGGGGTTGAGATCTGGAGACTGGCTAGGCCACTCCAGGACCTTGAAATGCTTCTTACGAAGCCACTCCTTCGTTGCCCGGGCGGTGTGTTTGGGATCATTGTCATGCTGAAAGACCCAGCCACGTTTTATCTTCAATGCCCTTGCTGATGGAAGGAGGTTTTCACTCAAAATCTCACGATACATGGCCCCATTCATTCTTTCCTTTACACGGATCAGTCGTCCTGGTCCCTTTGCAGAAAAAACAGCCCCAAAGCATGATGTTTCCACCCCCATGCTTCACAGTAGGTATGGTGTTCTTTGGATGCAACTCAGCATTCTTTGTCCTCCAAACACGACGAGTTGAGTTTTTACCAAAAAGTTATATTTTGGTTTCATCTGACCATATGACATTCTCCCAATCCTCTTCTGGATCATCCAAATGCATTCTAGCAAACTTCAGACGGGCCTGGACATGTACTGGCTTAAGCAGGGGGACACGTCTGCCACTGCAGGATTTGAGTCCCTGGCGGCGTAGTGTGTTACTGATGGTAGGCTTTGTTACTTTGGTCCCAGCTCTCTGCAGGTCATTCACTAGGTCCCCCCGTGTGGTTCTGGGATTTTTGCTGATCATTTTGACCCCACGGGGTGAGATCTTGCGTGGAGCCCCAGATCGAGGGAGATTATCAGTGGTCTTGTATGTCTTCCATTTCCTAATAATTGCTCCCACAGTTGATTTCTTCAAACCAAGCTGCTTACCTATTGCAGATTCAGTCTTCCCAGCCTGGTGCAGGTCTACAATTTTGTTTCTGGTGTCCTTTGGCAGCTCTTTGGTCTTGGCCATAGTGGAGTTTGGAGTGTGACTGTTTGAGGTTGTGGACAGGTGTCTTTTATACTGATAACAAGTTCAAACAGGTGCCATTAATACAGGTAACGAGTGGAGGACAGAGGAGCCTCTTAAAGAAGAAGTTACAGGTCTGTGAGAGCCAGAAATCTTGCTTGTTTGTAGGTGACCAAATACTTATTTTCCACCATAATTTGCAAATAAATTCATTACAAATCCTACAATGTGATTTTCTGGAGAAAAAAAATCTCAATTTGTCTGTCATAGTTGACGTGTACCTATGATGAAAATTACAGGCCTCTCTCATCTTTTAAAGTGGGAGAACTTGCACAATTGGTGGCTGACTAAATACTTTTTTCCCCCACTGTACCTTCATGTGTCTTAATATGTTGTTTTTTTGTGTGTCTGTCATTGTTACGTATCCTGTCCTTGGAAGTTATTGATGATGCATGCTGTGATAAAACAATTTCCCAAGTTGGGATTAATAAAGTAATACTCTACTCTACCATCATGGTACTTTTATTAATTGTTTTATTCTGTGTTGTTACAGCATTCAACCCACATAATTCATAGTGCATTTAATGTATTAAAAAGTTATTGAAATTGAAATCGAAAACCGTGATTATTTTGTAATAATCGAATCGAAACGCCCTCAAATGGCACTAATCACTCAGCACTAAAGACAACACATATCAAATAGTGACGTTTTAATGACATTTGACCTATACATCTCATTGGTTGAACATTGTTGTTTTCTCTCCCCACTCCCTCTCAGCGACCTCAGGAGGAGAAGTACCCCGTGGGGCCGTGGCTCCTGGCTCTGTTCGTCTTCGTCGTCTGTGGATCAGGTGAGGCCCAGATTCTGTGGAGATGTGTGAGAGAACTGTGGAAACTCATTCATTCAATCAGGAGTTCAACTTTCTGTTTCACATTAGTCTTGATATTACTCACCTAGGAAACTAACCAGATTTCAATTTCACTTCAGTTTTCTGCTCAGTGACTTCGCCTGACTGGATGTTGTTCAGTGTAACAACAGCCACTTTCTCTCTCAGCCATTTTTCAGATCATCCAGAGCATCAGGATGGGAATGTGATCCAGAGGCTCCACCAGACTTCCCTTTCCCCCTCACACCCCCTCACCAGACCTGCAGGCTGCTCGCCACCTTACGTCCCTAACACCTCCAGGAGGCCCGACTCAGGACAGCTCTTTGTCCATCAGGGAAGGCCTGGGAGAGGAATGGACCACTCCCCTTCCCCCCTCGCCGTCCTCGATCACGTTTACAGAGTTTCAGGCCGAGAAGATGAAAGCTTTTCTACTGACAGTCTGAACCACAACAACTGGCTGGATGAACCCTGTACAGTGTGTCTTACACCTGCTCATGTGTGAGTCTGTGAGTGTATGTGTGAGTCTGTGAGTGTATGTGTGTGTGTGAGAGAGTGTGTGCAGTCCAAGATGTGACTTGCTGCTGACAATGTGCCATACTGCTGTGTTTATATATTTATCTGTGTTGCGTGAGAACCTTTTTTTTAAATAAATGTGACTCGTTTGGGAAATGTTTGTTTGTCTGGTTTCAATTCCACTTTGGCTGCTCCGATCCCAGTTCATGTTGTCTGCAAATTAAGCCTGTTTACAGTGTGGTTAATTTGGGGATTCCTAGCTCTTTGTTTCCTGGTGTGTGTGTGTGTGTGTGTGTGTGTTTTATATACAGTGCATTCGGAAAGACCCCTTGACTTTTTCCACATTTTGTTACTTTACAGCCTTATTCTAAAATGTATTAAATAAATAAAAATCCTCATCAATCTACACACAATACCCCATACTGACAAAGCAAAAACTGGTTTTAAGAAACAAGTATTCAGACCCTTTGCTATGAGACTCGAAATTGAGCGCAGATGCATCCTGTTTCCATTGACCATCCTTGAGATGTTTCTACAACTTGATTGGAGACCACCTGTGGTAAATTCAATTGATTGAATATGATTTGGAAAGGCACACAACTGTCTATATAAGGTCCCACAGTTGACAGTGCATGTCAGAGCAAAAGCCAAGCGATGAGGTCGAAGGAATTGTCCGTAGAGCTCTGAGACAGGATTGTGTCGAGGCACAGATCTGCGGAAGGGTACCAAAACATTTCTGCAGCATTGGAGGTCCCCAAGAAAACAGTGGCCTCAATCATTCTATATATTTTTTTTTTTACTTTTACCCCATTTTCGTGATATCCAATTGGTAGTTACAGTCTTGTCCCATCGCTGCAAGAGAGGCGAAGGTCGAGAGCCATGCGTCCTCCAAAACACGACCCTGCCAAGCCGCTCTGCTTCTTGACATACTGCTCGCTTAACCCGGAAGCCAGCCGCACCAATGTGTCGGAGGAAACACCATACAACTGGTGACCGAAGTCAGCTTGCAGTTACCCAGCCCACCACAAGGAGTCTCTAGAGCGCGATCGGACAAGGACATCCCGGCCGGCCAAACCCTCCCCTAACCCGGACAACGCTGGTCCAATTGTGCGCCGCCTCATGGGTCTCCCGGTCACGGCAGGTTGTTATACAGCCTGGGATCGAACCTGGGGCTGTAGTGACGCCTCAAGCACTGTGGTGCAGTGCCTTAGACCGCTGTGCCACTTGGGAGGCCTCTGCCTCCATCATTCTTAAATGGAAGAAGTTTGGAACCACCAAGACTCTTCCTATAGCTGGCAGCCTGGCCAAACTGAGCAATCGGGGGAGAAGGGCCTTGGTCAGGGAGGTGACCAAGAACCCGATGGTCACTCTGACAGAGCTCCAGAGTTCCTCTGTGGAGATGGAAGAACCTTCCAGAAGGACAACCATCTCTGCAGCACTCCACCAATCAGGCCTTTATGGTAGAGTGGCCAGACAGAAGCCACTCCTCAGTAAAAGGAACATGACAGCCCTCTTGGAGTTTGCCAAAACACACCTAAAGGACTTTCAGATCATGAGAAACAAGATTCTCTGATCTGATGAAACCAAGATTGAACTATTTGGCCTGAATGCCAAGCGTCACGTCTGGAGGAAACCTGGCACAATCCCTACGGTGAAGCATGGTGGTGGCAGCATTATGCTGTGGGGATGTTTTTTAGAGGCAGGGAGTGGGAGACTAGTCAGGGTCGAGGGAAAGATGAACGGAGCAAAGTACAGACAGATCCTTGATGAAAACCTACTCCAGAGCGCTCAGGACCTCGGACTGGGGCGAAGGTTCACCTTCCAACAGGACAACGACCCTAAGAACACAGCCAAAACAATGCAGGAGCTGCTTCGGGACAAGTCTCTGAATGTTCTTGAGTGGCCCAGCCAGAGCCCGGACTTGAACCCGATCGAACATCTCTGGAGAGACCTGAAAATAGCTGTGCAGTGACGCTCCCCATACAACCTGACAGAGCTTGAGAGGATCTGCAGAGAAGAATGGGAGAAACTCCCCAAATACAGGTGTGCCAAGCTTGTAGCGTCATAACAAAGAAGTCTCTAGGCTGTAATTGTCACGTTCGTTCATAAACGGGACGGACCAAGGCGCAGCGTGATATGCATACATGTTTATTAAATGAATAAACACTCGACAAAACAATAAACGAAACAAAACGTGAAGTCCAAGGTAGACACAAACAACATACCTTTCACGGAACAAGATCCCACAACCCACTAGTGCCAATAGGCTGCCTAAGTATGGTCCCCAATCAGAGACAACGAGCGACAGTTGCCTCTGAACCACACCGGCCAACATAGATCTAGACATACTAGACTATAAACATAGATCTACACCACATAGAAAATAACACCCTGACTCAACAAATAAGAGTCCCCAGAGTCAGGGCATGACAGTACCCCCCCCCCCCCCCCCCCCCACAAAGGTGCGGACTCTGACCGCACAACCTTTACTTAACAGGGTAGGGGCCGGGTGGGCATTCCGCCTCGGAGGCGGATCCGGCTCCGGGCGTGACAACCACCTATTTTCCGCCTCCCTGTTGCGCTGGACTAGACCCCGGTGGAGTGGACTGCTCTGGCTCCGGAGTGGAGCAGCTGACCGGAGCTGGATCAGGCACCGGTGGAGCGGACTGCTCTGGCTCCGGACTGGAGCAGCTGACCGGAACTGGATCAGGCACCGGTGGAGCGGACTGCTCTGGCTCCGGAGTGGAGCAGCTGACCGGTGCCGGACCAGGTACCGGTGGAATGGGCACTGGACAAACTCACCACTGGTCTGGTGCGAGGAGCAGGCACGGGCCGAACCGGACTAGGAACCTGCACCACTGGCTTGGTGCGAGGAGCAGGAACAGGCCGCCACCACCACCACCCTGACTCAACAAATAAGAGTCCCCAGAGTCAGGGCATGACAGTACCCCCCCCCCCAAAGGTGCGGACTCCGACCGCACAACCTTTACTTAACAGGGTAGGGGCCGGGTGGGCATTCCGCCTCGGAGGCGGATCCGGCACCGGGCGTGACAACCACCTATTCTCCGCCTCCCTGTTGCGCCCCTGGTCTGGTCTGGACCTCGGCGCGCTGCTTCCCCTCTCCTTCCTCCCACTATACTCCAAGCCCTGTCTGGACCCTGGTGTGGGAGACCCCGAACCTGGAGAGGGGCTGACGTCTGGGTCTGGACTGGAGCCGCTGACCGGAGCTGGACTGGGCACCGGTGGAGCGGACTACTCTGGCTCCGGAGTGGAGCCGCTGACCGGAGCTGGATCAGGCACCGGTGGAGCGGACTGCTCTGGCTCCGGAGTGGAGCCGCTGACCGGAGCTGGACTGGACCCCGGTGGAGTGGACTGCTCTGGCTCCGGAGTGGAGCAGCTGACCGGAGCTGGATCAGGCACCGGTGGAGCGGACTGCTCTGGCTCCGGACTGGAGCAGCTGACCGGAACTGGATCAGGCACCGGTGGAGCGGACTGCTCTGGCTCCGGAGTGGAGCAGCTGACCGGTGCCGGACCAGGTACCTTGTGGAACGGGCACGGGCCGTGCCGGACTGGACAAACTCACCACTGGTCTGGTGCGAGGAGCAGGCACGGGCCGAACCGGACTAGGAACCTGCTCCACTGGCTTGGTGCGAGGAGCAGGAACAGGCCGGGCCGGGCTGGCGATGCGCACCACTAGCTTGGTGCGAGGAGCAGGAACAGGCCGGGCCGGGCCGGGCTGGCGACGCGCACCACTGGCTTGGTGCGAGGAGCAGGAACAGGCCAGGCCGGGCCGGGCTGGCGACGCGCACCACTGGCTTGGTGTGAGGAGCAAGAACAGGCCAGGCCGGGCCGGGCTGGCGACGCGCACCACTGGCTTGGTGCGAGGAGCAGGAACAGGCCGGGCCGGGCTGGCGACGCGCACCACTGGCTTGGTGCGAGGAGCAGGAACAGGCCAGGCCGGGCTGGCGACGCGTACCACTGGCTTGGTGCGAGGAGCAGGAACAGGCCGGGCCGGGCTGGGAACGCGCACCACTGGTTTGGTGCGAGGAGCAGGAACAGGCCGGGCCGGGCTGGCGACGCGCACCACTGGCTTGGTGCGAGGAGCAGGAACAGGCCGGGCCGGGCCGGGCTGGCGACGCGCACCACTGGCTTGGTGCGAGGAGCAGGAACAGGCCGGGCCGGGCTGGGAACACGCACCACTGGTTTGGTGCGAGGAGCAGGAACAGGCCGGGCCGGGCTGGTTGACGCGCACCACTGGCATGGTGCAAGGAGCAGGACATGGCTACTCTCTCCGCCTGGGCACGCTGCTTGGTCCTCGTTTGGTGGGATCTTCTGTCACGTTCGTTCATAAACGGGACGGACCAAGGCGCAGCGTGATATGCATACATGTTTATTAAATGAATAAACACTCGATAAAACAATAAACGAAACGTGAAGTCCAAGGTAGACACAAACAACATACCTTTCACGGAACAAGATCCCACAACCCACTAGTGCCAATAGGCTGCCTAAGTATTGGCCCCAATCAGAGACCACGAGCGACAGCTGCCTCTGATTGGGAACCACACCGGCCAACATAGATCTAGACATACTAGACTATAAACATAGATCTACACCACATAGAAAATCACACCCTGACTCAACAAATAAGAGTCCCCAGAGTCAGGGCGTGACAGTAATCGCTGTCAATGGTGCTTCAACAAAGTCCTGAGTAAAGGGTCTGAATACTTATGTAAATGTGATATTTCAGTTATGTATTTTTTATAAATTTGCAAAAATCTCTAAAAACCCGTTTTTGCTTTGTCATTATGGGGTATTGTGTGTAGATTGATGAGGAGGAAAAGCAATTTAATAAATTTTAGAATAAGGCTGTAACGTAACAAAAATGTGGTAAAAGTCATGGGGTCTGAATACTTTCCGAATGCACTGTAACTTATCACTAAGGAACCACGCCCTTGCGGAATTCCAGGTGTCTAAATGTCTTAATTCCAGGTGCTAAAGTACCATGACTAATTACCAGGATTCTAATGTCATGTCCTTTCTCCAACTAACATACAGTACCTGTATGAAACAAGGGTTATGTCTTATTACTCAGCCTCTCAACCTTATGTCTCCCCCAGTGTTGGAAAAAGTACCCAATTGTCATAGTTTAGTAAAAGTAAAGATACCTTAATAAAAAATGACTCAAGTAAAAGTGAGTCACCCAGTAAAATACTACTTGAGTAAAAGTTTTAAAGTATTTGGTTTTAAAATTTACTTTTGATACTTAAGCATATGTAATTGCTAAAATATACTTAACTATCAAAAGTAAAAGTATAAATCATTTCAAATTCCTTATGTTAAGCAAACCAGACGGCACAATTATCTTGTTTTTTTCATTTACAGATAGCCAGGGGCACACGCCAACACTCAGACATCATTTACAAAGGAAGCATTTGTGTTTAGTGAGTCCGCCAGATCAGAGGCAGTAGGGATGACCAGAGATGTTCTCTTGATAAGTGTGTGAATTGGACCATTTTCCTGTCCTGCTAAGCATTCAAAATGAAACTAGTACTTTGGGTGTCTGGGAAAATGTATGGAGTAAAGAGTACATTATTTTCTTTAGGAATGTTGTGAAGTAAAAGTTGTGAAAAATAGAAATAGTAAAGTACAGATACCCCAAAAAAACTACTTAAGTAGTACTTTAAAGTATTTTTACTTAAGTACTTTACACCATTGGTCTTCCCAAACCATCCTACTTCAAGGCAGATGGCAGATGAACTTCAGTTGAATGGAATGCTGTTCAGTGAGGTGTGGAGTAAAACAATCACTGTTTGTTCATGTGAATCATCAGCCTGAGCAAGGCGCTTTTCATGCCCAGTTGTTCGGAAGTTGGGGTGATTTGTGGACCATGTAATTTACGCAGCTGCTAGCTAAGGCTGACTCTGGTGAAAAGCAGGAAGCGAGGAAGAGCTCAACCAACAGCTCGCAGTATACAGGCAGTGCAGCAGCCGGTTTCATATGTTCTTTCTTCAGTGTACAGTAGGATGATTTTGCTCTAGTCCAGACACTGATCTAAGGCCAGTTTTACATTTCCCCTCCATAATGTTTAAAGGGTGACTTCCTGATTTGGCCTCGTTTTAGATTTGGTTCATGCTAGCATCCATGACTGAATTCAAATGTGAGTTGGTTTTGGGGTGTGGTTTGACGTGGGTGTCTCGTGTGTGTTCGCAGCTGGGAATAGTTAGCCAAATCATTTAGCCAATTAGCTTCAGCCAGGCTGGTGTGCGACCGTGGCAAAGTTGGTTCGACTTTGGATAGCCTATCTCTAGGGATAGTTAGGGACCGTCAATACATTACACAATGTAAATGGGACAATATTTTCATGTTACACATCTTTTAGTTGTATCATTAAACACTTTCAATATTTTGATATTAATTTCTACAATTTATAGTTGGTTTAAGGTTTTTAAGTTACTGAAATTTGGAAATATTGACCTTTTAAAATATTGTCCCATGTAAATTGTGTAATTTACAACTAGCCCCATAAGGATTTCAAATGTCAAACCAAATTGACCATGGGTATTACCATGGCTGCGCTCCTAATTGATTACTTGGGTGCTGCCAGCTGTGGGCAGGATTAAAATAAACCCAAGACAAACTGTTACGGTACCCTTCATTCCGTGACATACCATTTTTTCAGATCATCTCGCAAATCTCAGTTTTGGACGAGACTGACTTTATGACCAAAAATATCCTACAGATTAAATAAGGTACATTATTTAAACTACAGAAGTAAATTAAGGTTATCTATTTAACTATAGAAGTACACGTGACGAGCAAGAAGAGACATGAACAAGAGGATTCTGATTCCTTTATCATTTTTATTGAAATTTGTGAAGCGCAACTGTCAAGTGCAATTGTGTTATGTATGTTTACAATACCTCATCTGGTTTGAGGAAACATGCACAGAACATGAGCATACAACTTATACATAGAATGCAAAAAATCAATTTGTTTTTCTTTATGATATTTAGAGTACGGTGTTTGTTAAGTTAGAGAGTTGATCGTGAAGTACTTCACTGTCAAAAAATGAGAAATGGAGAAAAAAAAATTCACGAGGGGTGCAATACTTCAAATAATTTCAAGTGAACGATGGTTTACAGTAGGCGTTAATGTTGTAGCCCAGGATATGGATACAGTTGTCTGTTTGTCTGTCAGTTAAATAACCTCCACAGCTCTCCATACTCCTGAATTACAGCATTAAAAAGAGACGGCACAAATCTTCAGGCCAGCCCATTACTAGCTCCCTCTTCATTTGTACTTCACCTAAATAGCATCTGGTCTTCGCTCCTTATTTCACTATATTACACAGTACTTACACTAAATATACTAGAGATATACATCATGTAGAAAGACCATCAACTCCTCTTTGAAAATGCAGCTTAGCCCAACATCTCTACCCCACAGCATCTTTACATGAGAAGAGAAGCCGCCAAGATAACAGGGTACAGGGCTGAGGGGCTAAAACTTAAATACAGGGGGAAAACCCTCATCATCATCATCCCTCCTTTAATAAGCAAATGCAGGCTACTACTACCTTCAACTTCACAGTTAAAATGATGACGTCAACGGAAGTGTTGTGTTCTCCCTCTAGACCTCCTCTCCTCTCGCCCCATGCCAGATGGGGACGATCACACGATGATAAATCCTCACAGATTATTCAAGTTGTCACCATGAGATGCTCTATTCTCGGTCTGTCCCTCTCTGTATCGCGCAGGCAGAAGAGAACCGCTGTATTTATTTACATTATCAGGATTCAGCTAAGCATGGTGACTCCCATTACTATCTCCCTCCATCATTGTTACCACTGAAGTCAACATCACTTGAAATCCATTGACACAGGCACAGTGATTCTTTGAGTCACGTTCACTTTTTTTGTTTATGTTTTTCTTCCATGTATTTTTGGGCAATGTTCATTCTCCTATAACAGCCCCCATCCCTCCTCTCCTAGGCAGATTGTCTTTGATAGTGTGTTTTAAAGCGCCTTGAAACGACAACACCACCCGCCGCCGCTCCCAGAGTTAAATATGTGCAGATTCTTGTCTTAACAGCATAGCCTCCTGCAGTGGAGGCCTGGTTGTTCTGCAGTGTTAGAACAGAATCTGTCTGAGGACACTCAGTCAGACCCTGGTTGGTTGATAGGTTGGTTCATCCACCCCTCTCCCGGGGTAGAGGGTGATGCTATGCAGAGGGTCCAGAGTTGTGTGAGGTTGGCTGGGGTTGGGCTGGGGGTAGGGCAGGTGCCTGGGTCTGGGCTGGTGGCTGTGTGGAGGTGGGAGGGGAGCCCGTCTGGGTCTGGGCCTGGAACTGAGCCATCTGCTCTGGGCTGGCTAGGGTCTTCAGAAGGCTGTTCTCCTGCTCAAGCTGAGAGTTCCTCTCGATCAGCTCCTTGATCTGCTCCTTCAGAACCTCCACCTCCTCCCTCACTGCGTACATCAGGTGGCTCTTCACCAGGTCCTAAAGGGACAGAGAGAGGAACAGAGAACACAGAGACATTAGTGTTGAGTTTAACATGACAATAATTATACATACAAAAGAAGATAAAGATAGTGTTTAGTGTTTTGCTCAAATACTTCAAATGGTCCTGTATGGCTCAGTTGGTAGAGCATAGTGCTTTAAACACCAGGATTGTGGGTTTGATTCCCGGGGCCACCCATACGTGAAATGTATTCACACAACTTTCACTTTGGATAAAAGTGTCTGCTAAATGGCATATATTATATTATGACCATAATGACATTCAAAACAATTTTAAGTTTGTGTTCTGTTTTTCAAAATACCATAAAAGTATAGCATACTCTTGATATGATGATAATAATGTAAGCATAGCATTACTACTGCCCTTTCTGTGGGAATTACGATTACTATTTAATACAACACATATTGTTTATTATTGTAGCTAGCTTCTGTGGTCTGTTTTAATATAAGAAGTGAGTCTGAGCATGTGGTGAAAATCAAAACAAAGATTCTATAGATTATGGGCCAAATAGTCCTAGGGTCTAACCCTCCCCTTCCTCTGAAGCCAGGACGCAACGTCACCAAACACACAAAATGGCCGGCCCATATATAGGCTTTAGCCAATCGGAGCCCGCGATATTTATATCCAGGTGTCGAAGATTTTCTGTTTGCCTAGCAACAACGACAAGGCAAGCACAGGATGGCGTGGGAGAGAGCGTCCTGAGCAGGCAGGGATCCAGGGAAAATAAAACACTGGAACCATGAGGAACTGAAAATAAAAGTCTGCACGCAAGCTCATCTCCCTGTGTCAACGTGTTTATTCAAATAAATGGTAGCTTCAGGTAGAAATCGAAACAGTGTTTTACAGAACTGGATCCTTACTACACATTACATAAGAAGTTTAAATAAGGCGATTGTGCTACCACGGTAAATTGCATGTCATATTGATACCACTTTCAATGATGAGATACCTGGCTAACGTTTAGGCCCCATAGACACACTTTGGCAAACGAAATATTAAACTGACGTCAAGGCACATAACACCATATGCTGCTACATTGTTGCCAGAGCATCAAGCTATTCACGATCTATCATCTATGTAACAGCGCCAAACTGAATTGGTTACAAAGTAACGCGGAAATCGAGAGTGATATGTTTTTTCAACTGCAATAGTAGGCATATTGGAAAGAGAATCAGCAATAAATCGGTATTTTGCGTGACTTCCCAGTTCTGGTCGGTTACGTGGTTATGTAATCCATTCATTTAACTGACTGATGCAACGTTTTCTTCTGAACTGATCATTCTCCGAATGTATTCTTCGAAATACTTACATATATATATATTTGCATGTGATTTATGTATTATAGATAGCAGATAAGAAAGTTGAATTAATATAATATATAAACTTACCATAGCCTGTTCGATTTTGTTGTCTATGGCCACCACACTGGCTCCTGACGAGCTGGAAGAATGAAAATAAAAAAGTCTTAACATACTACATCGGTAAGAATGAATGATTAAAAGGTAGGCATACTGTCGATGTTGCAGATCTAATACCAGCCATTTCAATGCCCAGTGAAATACAGTATAAATATCCTTATACAGGTGACTTCACTTCCGCTAAAGACCATTATAGAGCAAAGTGTTCAGGGTGTATTGAAAAGACTGTAGACAATATTCCTCTCAAATAATCCGTACATGTTATTTCACTGTCATCAATGTAAAAATTAACCAAGGGTGATGTGTACATTTAAGCTACAGCATCTCCTGAGCCAACAGTAAGCAAAGCCAACCTTGTAATGCATAATGACGACGAGTCACATTTTCTCTTACTGAACCCAATCAAAATGGCAGCATCAGCATAAATGTCCTTAGGCTATACTTGTATTTCAATTATACAGTTCTCTATAATAGATTGACTCAGTGTATAAACCAGCGCTTCTTTCAGCATACAGACTATTAACTGACCACACTAGGCATCCTCCTTGCAGCACATAATGTCCTTCTCAGAAACACTGCTATATTTACCTATTGTCGAGCCTGACAGGCGAACTATCCGCGCTCAGCAACGAAGATAAAAACGAAATAGAAAAATTCCTTAGCTGGCAAACACCAAGATCCATCGCCACTGTTGTATAGCACGGAGTATCCATGCTATATCACAGATATAAACTAAGCTTTAACCAACGAAAAACTCCTCTCTCGACGATGACCGTGTATCACAAATCACATTCTCTAATTCCGTGGTTCGGAGAAGCGGTATTAGGCACTTTGTGTCCCGTCAGAAAATCATCCTATCCCGGGGAGCCTGAACATCTATCTACCGCTACACCACAAAGAATCTCCAAGGTCAGCTCATCTCCGCTCCGCTGAAAATCTGCAGCCTGGGTCATTTGCATAATGTATCTAAGAAAAACAGCACCCCGATGGGGTATTGGTGGAGGGATACTGATATTAGCATAAACTATGTAGGAACGCCCCTACCTGCGGCTCAGCCGATACTATTATCATAAATTATTCAGAGGTGCACCCTCACCCGCCGAAAAAGGGAAAAACCGGATGAGATGAGGAGGAACACAACTTCCAAGACACAAAGGGATGTTAACTTGTCGAGAATTAGTCTACGAGAATTAGTCTACAAGAATTGGCTAAATATAAGGAATTACTGGCAGCCACAACACGAGAAAGGTGACAATGAACTGATGTATTTTGTGCATTTACAACTACCAAAATGACTGTAAACCTGATGAAAGTGGGTACTATAAACAAAAATAAATAAATAATTCACATATAGTAGAAAATAACCTTTCAAGACCCTTGCAGGTGCAAAAACAAAAGACTTGAACGTTAACATACCGCCCCCTGGCGGTTACTATGAGAACAAGAGCCCCACACAAGACAAGGATCAAATCAAATTGTCACATGCACAGAATACAACAGGTGTAGACTTTACCGTGAAATGCTTACTTTCCAGCCCTTTCCCAACAATGCAGTTAAAATGTATGAAAAGGATAACAACACTCCAGTGACAGTCCACACAGGGTTTACTCAAATCAATTAAGAAAATACCCAATAACAACAAGTAAACAGATGCATTCAGATCTCTTCCAGCACAAGTTTTGTATGTGTGCCTGGGACACAGGATGGCCAGACCCTCAGACTATAGATGAGTCAGACACTAACCCAATTCACGTGAGGGAAGCCCTCCTTCCAGCATGCCTCAAATTACTGAGACAAGCCAGAGATGCATGTGCTACATTTTTCTGTGCTTCAGAAATTAGGAGAAGAGATGCCGTGCGTCAGTCTCCAAACAAAAACAATGTAGCCTCACAAAAGACCTATTGACTGTGAGCAAAACACTAAGGAGTGGGTAAGTGAATTGACAGGCAAGATGGATAGTGGATAATTGTATAAATGTTCTGGTAAAGACAATGCTAGAAAAACTTAGAGACCGTGGACCAGTGTTTTCCAAACATCTCCTTGAACACCCCCAGCCTGTACACTTATTTGATGTATTCCAGAACTAGCTAAGCTGATTCAAAATGGTCACCTAATCATCAATCTGGAACAAAAAGGGGCTTAGGTGGTGGGCGTGGCAGGGGGCAGCTGCATTTTAGATACATTTTTGCAGTTTTAAAGCAAATTTCCTGCAATTCTACACATTTTGCCATGCAGCTGAGAGAAAATGTTGCAGTTTGAAAACAAATTTCATGCAATTCTACTAATGGAGCTAATTTCTGTTTCTCTGCTCACTTCCTCGTGTTTACAGACTCAGAAATGATGCTATTGGTTGGTGCCTGTGGCTTCTCCCTGACCCCAAGCTACAGCTAGCCTTTAGATATTTTCAGTCTGAAGTAAGAGATATCCATTAACTCAATTAAGGGGTTGGTTTTAAATAACACTTGTTCAGATGCTCCAAGCACTTTTTATTGTATGGGGCAAAGAAACACACCTCAGTGTAGCATGCAACTGGGTGATGCCATGGCAGCCATTATAAAACTGGTTGTTTGGATCCTGGATGCTGATTGGACAAGCAGCGTTCCAAGCCGTGGTGTATTGGCTGTCACAGACACACCTATGCCTGCTAACAGCTCCATCTGAAAATGATAATTGCGCCTCCATAAGAATATAATGTTTATGTTACCGTCCCAATCATCTCTTGTATTTATCTCAACTCGCACATTATTTCCCCTTGCTTCCAGCCTAGCATTTTGTTTGTTACAGCGGGGGTTAATATAAGCCTCGCTGTCTGCCTGTCCAACCTCAGAAACAATGTTTCACTTTTGAATTTCAATCTCTGTAGTACCATACATAGTGAACGGTGCCCAGACAAGACAACTTTTTCTGAGCCATTCGAAATCACGCATCAACGTCATTTTTATGGACATATCCAAATAAATGCCAATATAAAAAAAGCTAAAACAAACGAAAATGCAACTAGTGTATACCGTCATTCCAGGTTCAATCTTTGACGTGACTGAGTTAGCTGAAGTTGGCTGGCTGGCTAGCTAGCTAGCAAGTGACAAGAACGTTATCCAGCCTGCATAGCAACCATTTTGTTTAGAACCGACGACCAGTCCTTTTGCATAGCCACTATGCAAAAATAATTAGCGGCTGGGTCGCATCTGTAGCAACATGACCAAAATAACTAATTACCAGATTTTTGTCCGGACTATATATTCTGGTGGAAGAATTAAATGTTATTAACTAATTTATTAACGTTTTAATAAAAATATAAAATTCATTGTTATTTTAATATGTTAACAGTTTTATTAAAGCAATAAGGCTATCACGTCGGGCTGAATAACGCCATTTACCTGTGATTGTATTGATGATACAACACTGCCTCATGCCTTATTGGTTAATTTTACGCCAGAGAAAGCTCATCTCACACATCAGCCATCATAGGCCGATATCTGTTCAGTGCTGCTGATACAGTGGATTCTTAACTACACCAAACTATAGGTAGAAATATACACTCAGTTTATTAGGTACACCACCCGTTCACGAAAATGGTTCGCTCCTACAGACAGTGAGTCACGTGGACGTGGCTTCCTATATAAAGTAGGCAGACAGGCATCGAGGCATTCAGTTACTGTTCGATTGAACGTTAGAATGGGCAAAATGAGTGGTATGATCGTCAGTGCCAGGCGGTATCTTAGAATCGACCAGTCTCCTGGGCTTTTCACGCACAACAGTGTCTAGGATTTACCAGGAATGGTGCGACAAACAAAAAACATCCAGTCAGCGGCAGTCCTGTGGGCAAAAACAGATACAGTGAGGGAAAAAAGTATTTGATCCCCTGCTGATTTTGTACGTTTGCCCACTGACAAAGACATGATCAGTCTATAATTTTAATGGTAGGTTTATTTGAACAGTGAGAGACAGAATAACAACAAAAAAATCCAGAAAAACGCATGTCAAAAATGTTATAAATTGATTTGCATTTAAATGAGGGAAATAAGTATTTGACCCCTCTGCAAAACATGACTTAGTACTTGGTGGCAAAACCCTTGTTGGCAATCACAGAGGTCAGACGTTTCTTGTAGTTGGCCAACAGGTTTGCACACATCTCAGGAGGGATTTTGTCCCACTCCTCTTTGCAGATCTTCTCCAAGTCATTAAGGTTTCGAGCCTGACGTTTGGCAACTCAAACCTTCAGCTCCCTCCACAGATTTTCTATGGGATTAAGGTCTGGAGACTGGCTAGGCCACTCCAGGACCTTAATGTGCTTCTTCTTGAGCCACTCTTTTGTTGCCTTGGCCGTGTGTTTTGGGTCATTGTCATGCTGGAATACCCATCCACGACCTTGGCTGAGGGAAGGAGGTTCTCACCCAAGATTTGACGGTACATGGCCCCGTCCATCGTCCCTTTGATGCGGTGAAGTTGTCCTGTCCCCTTAGCAGAAAAACAAACCCCAAACCATAATGTTTCCACCTCCATGTTTGACGGTGGGGATGGTGTTCTTGGGATCATAGGCAGCATTCCTCCTCCTCCAAACACGGCGAGTTGAGTTGATGCCAAAGAGCTCGATTTTGGTCTCATCTGACCACAACACTTTCACCCAGTTCTCCTCTGAATCATTCAGATGTTCATTGGCAAACTTCAGACGGGCCTGTATATGTGCTTTCTTGAGCAGGGGGACCTTGCGGGCGCTGCAGGATTTCAGTCCTTCACGGCGTAGTGTGTTACCAATTGTTTTCTTGGTGACTATGGTCCCAGCTGCCTTGAGATCATTGACAAGATCCATGTAGTTCTGGGATGATTCCTCACCGTTCTCATGATCATTGCAACTCCACGAGGTGAGATCTTGCATGGAGCCCCAGGCCGAGGGAGATTGACAGTGTTTTGTGTTTCTTCCATTTGCGAATAATCGCACCAACTGTTGTCACCTTCTCACCAAGCTGCTTGGCGATGGTCTTGTAGCCCATTCCAGCCTTGTGTAGGTCTACAATCTTGTCCCTGACATCCTTGGAGAGCTCTTTGGTCTTGGCCATGGTGGAGAGTTTGGAATCTGATTGATTGATTGCTTCTGTGGACAGGTGTCTTTTATACAGGTAACAAACTGAGATTAGGAACACTCCCTTTAAGAGTGTGTTCCTAATCTCAGCTCGTTACCTGTATAAAAAGACACCTGGGAGCCAGATATCTTTCTGATTGAGAGGGGGTCAAATACTTATTTCCCTCATTAAAATGCAAATCAATTTATAACATTTTTTACATGCGTTTTTCTGGATTTTGTTGTTGTTATTCTGTCTCTCACTGTTCAAATAAACCTACCATTAAAATTATAGACTGATCATTTCTTTGTCAGTGGGCAAACGTACAAAATCAGCAGGGGATCAAATACTTTTTTCCCTCACTGTAGTTGATGAGAGGTCGAAGGAGAATGGCAAGAATCATGCAAGCTAACAGGCAGGCCCCAGACAGGCAAATAACAGCACAGTACAACAGTGGTGTGCAGAGCGGCATCTCGGAACACACAACTCGTCGGTCTTGGGCTATTGCGGCAGACGACCACACCAGGTTCCACTACTACCAGCTAAAAACAAGAGGAAGCTGCGCCAGTGGGCACGTGATCATCAACACTGGACAATTGAGGTGGAAAAACATTGCCTGGTCCGACGAATCCTGGTTCCTGTTGCGTCATGCT